CCTCTCTCGCTGGACACAGACACTTTCCCATCGCTACCCCAGTGCTGGTGAGAATGATGCAAATCTCCAGCCCCAGGACAAACCCAATCCCCACCCTTATACGAATCAATCCCAGTTAACACTCCTTTGCCCCCTTTGCAGGCTCAGACAATCTGACCCAACCTGCGTGTCTTTGCACATGTTACTGCAGTCTGCTGAGAAACAGAAATTGAAAGCCAAGACCTCGCAAGAAGCAAGAGCTGATAGTTAAGCTGGACAGACTAGCGCCATTCATTCATGTTTCATGGGGTTGCACATGTAAATGTGGCATGTTTGTGACGAGATGTAATTGTAACTGTTACTTTGAAATACACATTTTGTATTTTATTGATGATTTTTTAAAAATCGATAAAATCCAATTTAAATTAAAAAATCTGATTGAAATAAAAAAAGTGTTTTTATTTTTAAAAATCATAAATTTTTATCCACCCTGATTTTTTTCTAATTAGATATTACTAGTTTTATTTGATTGCATTATACAAAATTCTTCAAAATTTTAAATGTAAGCATTTTTCTTTCATTTTGATTTTTACAAAAGAAATATAATAGGATCATTTTGACAGATACTTTGATTAAACATTTGTATGTGGCTGATTCTAGTCTGGTATCAGAACAGAATTACAATTATGCAACACTTTTTTTCTGTGCCTGGCAGCATAGCTCAGATATGCTTGTACAGGTTCATCTCACCTAATTTATAATCCATAGCCAAGACTTTTATTTCTATAAGGACATTCATAGCTACCAGATCTTGTAATCACTGTTTAATAAATAATGCTTGTGACAGCGTTTCCATTTTGCAAATAAGTTAGTTCGACTGCAGAAAAAATACAGCATTCATAATGGCGATAAAAGCTTGTCCATAGTGCCCAGAGTCTCAGCTTTGATCTTAAGTCCTTGGCGTTTCCTCTGAGGCTACTGATAAATGTATCAGTTACTCTGCCGCATGCTTCCTTTGTGACCTTCGGGAAATCTCTAGAGCAAATTAGATGCTTTAGCTTTCTCAGCAGTAAAATATGGATCTTAATCCTTACTGATTGCTTAGGGGTGGTGAGAAAGTAATTCAATGAGTAAAAGCACTTTGAGATCCTCAGGTGAAAGGTCCTGTAGAACTGCATTTATTATTTACTTTATATTGTGATATGGACAGTTGTCCCATTGGGACTGGACTGAGATCATTAGCTCACCAAACAGCTGTCTAATGTTAACAACTTTCAATCACTACTAACTTTGACAGTGCTTGAACCAGTGACCTGAAGGAAGAAGAGTTTATGTCTCATTACCCATCATGTGAAACAAGCAAGCGTCTGAAAACTATCGATTTTTTAAAAAAAGGGGGAGGAAATATAATTGCTTAAAAAATAATATTCTCCCCATCAAAAATGTTAATAAAAACATTGTTAAAATGTTTTCATCTCTTATGTTTTGGGTGAGTATGGAGGATGTGGGAGAGTTCTGTATTTCTGTCCACAACATATGTGCCTCGGTTTACCTTCTTAATTTTCTGTCTGAATGCAGAGAATTAAATTAAAGGAAGCTATTCGGTGGAAACAAACAGGAAATGAAACAATAGAGAAAAGATACACTAATGAAAACACTAAGGATCCTAAAGGGAATGGTGGAGGAGCTATGGCTCCAGTTAGGTGATGAGGCTATTTCTCCAGGCCTGAGCAAAGAACAAAGGGACTCGAAACAGTTAATGACTCCAGTATAGGAGTCTTTACAGGAAGGTTGGAATAAGCAAGCAGCAGCAGCTGGCCTTGAGTATTTACAGACACACACTGAGGGCTCATATCCATTTAGTGATGGATCTACACTGTAGTGATCAGTCTAGTGGGCATCAATTTAGCAGGTCTATTTAAGACCCACTAAATCAACTGCCACTCACTCTACTGTTGACTGCCATACTTCACCAGAATGAGATGAGTAAGGGGAATCAATGGAAGGGTTTCTTCTATCAGCCCATCATGGTGTGGACCCCAGGATAAGTAGATCTAAACAAAGTCAATTTAATTTACATTACTATTGTAATATAGTTTAGATTGGTCTGTACCCCTAGTATAGACCTCTCCTGAGATAATGCTATAGAGGCTATCTGTCTGTCTTGATGTAGGAATGGGAACATCCTAGTTTCAGTATGTTACATGCATTGTATAGGCCATGTGTTGTTTTATCCTATTTTTCTGACTACTGTGTTCCAGCTGACTCATACATTAGACTTCGTTAAAAATCAGATTTTTTTTTAAAGAAAATGTATGATAACGACACAAGTGAAGTACAGGTTGGACATCTTTTATTCTGCACTCAGGACCTAACTGGTCCTGAACCAGGGAATTTGCCAGACTAAAGATGGTTCCCTGCCACATCCCCCAGCCGCCAACTCTGCCAGCGGGCTGGGAGAGAAATGGAGGGACTTCCTCTAGTCCCTGCCAGGCTGCCTGCTGGGTCACCTGTTGGGTTGTTGCTGCTGCCCCAACTGGACTGGCTGCTGGGCTGCAGCAGCCCGGGCTGGCATAGG